AGGGCTGGAGAGTGACATAGGCTACTTTTTACCGCGGAAGATGACCTCCTTCCCATGGGAAAACACGTTATAATACAAACCAAAAAAATATTTATGATCAGAATTACTTGAAACTTGGTATTAATGCTATTCAATACAATTAAAAAAAAATACGTGTTTTAGCATTTTTCGAAATTCAACCCATAAGGGGGTAAAATGGGGGATGAAAGTTTGTATGAAATCCACTTATTGAGTTTTTTTATAGTGTTAGTGCGAGCGAAGCGGTGTGTAGTAAATATATAAAGCTAAAAAGCTCTCTCGCAAAAAATAGCGATATCGCTTGGACAAATTCACACTTTACAGTATGAAAAACTAAACCATATTTCTGCAACACTGAACAATTATGAAACAGAACCTGGCTCGCTACTCGCGTATATTAATCATGTATCGCTTTTTTCTTTTATTATCAGGGTAATAAACATTACCATTTATTTTATACTAGCAACAAACCAAATTCTTAGGTTTCACATATTAGTATGCTCTTACATTGCAGTTTCTGTATTTTTTCTCAGAAATGAGATATTTTCACGCGGTAAAAAGTATTCTATATGTTGACCCGGATAACCAGCTATCACCATACCAAGTTTCATCAAAATCTTTCGTGGTTATTCTGTGATGCGGTAACAGGCAGACAGATAGACAAAAATTCTAAAAACTATAGATTCCGCCTCTATATCGATAATAATGTTTATTTCAATAAGATTTTCCAAAAAATATCTAATGTACAGATTCGGCTTAGTTACAATTTTATTATACGAGTATTTATAGATTTTAATAACGCATAGTGACTGCTTGTAATTACACAAAGAATGAACACAGACTTTTAGGAATTTTTTGCACGCGCCTAGCATATGTGAGCCCTTTAACTAGTAAGGATAAGTTTGCTACGATGGTTTGATATCTACTGAGTATTTACGCAAGCATTATTTTCTCGCGTGACCCGATCCAATAAAATATCATACATAGCCCATAGGCTAAATCAATTGCTAATAACCACATCGAAATCTTCTTCATGAATAAAGCTAAACTATTATTGAACTGTGAGCGATAGGAAGATCTGTATTTTATGTTACTGTTATAGCAAACTACGATAGGTACGTCATACGTATACATTGCAAGATTTCCCAGTGAACTCTAACATTTCTCTCTTCTAATCTCTTGATGTTGAACTTTTATTAGTGTTTACTAAATAGATAAATCTTCGATTTGTTCATATTTGGGATTTTTTAAGGGGAACCATAGAGAGTAGAAGTTATTGAATATCAGGGATTCTTATATTAGCCATAAAGTCTTGAAAAACATGAGATTAGCCTTCATTTTGAGTCTATACAAACATTAGTGCATGTACATATGTGTGTATATGCATAATGTGTATGCATTCTTGAATCCTTTGAATGATTGCGAAAAACTTTAATAAGCTATACAAACGGGTTTTACACAGTTTCTGACATAGATGGCGCTTGCGTCGTATAAATGAAGAAATATGTCCTGGATGAGGCCAGGGCGGGTCGCCAGTTAGCAATAAAAATTAAAAAGTTTTGGGAGATTATTAAGATATTTATTTTGTGAGCGTTAGAGTGAGATAAGTAAAATATTTAAGGTAAATGATAGATGAAAGATTTTTTTTTGTCATGAACAGTTCAATGTTAGCCTAAGTACTTTGTAATTATTAAAGCTTATGTCACGGCCAGCCACTAATCAATTGCATTATTGTGCTGTCTTTAGTTGTTGATCCAATGTTTATTAAGGATTTACTCCCTTTTTACACATTATAATTCAATATAGCTTTAATAATCTTATTTTACCAACCAATCTCCTTCGTGCCTACTTCGTTTTACGTGACTTTGGCGAAGTAATCTATGCTCAACTGAATTGAATTGAATCAATTGTATTATTATACCTGTACAATATACATAATTGCACATGAATACATGTTTTTACAATAAATTTTATACATAGTACAGATACGTGTAATAATACGAAGCAATTATAAATAATAAATTTATAATTTATAAATATGTTGGGACATTAACACACAGCACCATCCAGTTTCATGGTAAGCTACGAGGCTTGTATTATGGATACCAGATAGTTGATGCACTATACAAATATAACTTAAAATACATACATATTGTAAATATAAACACCCATGACTGGAGTACAAACATTCGTGCTTATCACACAAAGGAACGTCCTCAAGGGGATTCGAACCCGCGACCGCTGGCACGGGAAGTAGAGTCACTACAAACTGAGCCAAAAGTGTTGTCAAATAAAAATTAAAAATATTCCAAAATAATATGTTACCTTACATAATAAAATACCAATATAATGACAGTTACCAGTAGGTACGCTATAAGTAAATATTTAAAGGTACGATATTTATGTATATAGGCATGTAAGATAATTTTTCATTACAATTTTTTTACAAAAAATGGCAATGGCCTGGTGTAGCTAATTCTAATAATGACAAAATTATTTTTTACAGCCTGCGTTTAGGTTAGTCTGTCCTAGCTATATTTACACAATATAAATTTTTAATAATTTAAAAATTATAAACAAAAAATATATATAATAACAATTATAGTAATAATGAAAATCTAAATAAACCATTTATATTAAAACTTAGATACGCCTTAAAACACTGAATCATTTGTGCAATCTCAACATTTGCTTTGACTGGCTTCATATATTTACGCTATAGGCATTTCTGTCTCTTAATTCAATATCACTTCTTCTGTTGAAATATTTCAATGATTAGTTCAGTATTGCATCGTGTAATAACACCATAATTGGCTGGCCCAGTTTGTATGGAGCTTTAGGCACGTACAACCACGACATGCTTCTGAGAACGTGCCTATCTATTTACCTATTCTTACTCCACAATAACGTAATTCATAGTTATATATAATAGATTATTTACATGAAATAATCATATAACACCGGAATATATAGGTACTAATTTGTATAATGTCTCTATCACATTATAAGTGTCTATCTCGCTCTATCTTGTACATTGTTATTAAGAGCTTGTATTTGTTAAAGTGTTCATTTTATGTTGACGCTGGAAGATAAGAAAGTATAAATAACTATTTAATTTCAAAGTAAGCTATTTAAAAAAAAAAAGAAAATAATAGAACAGGAATATCAGGAATAGGAACACGAGTTGAATTATTTTATTATTAGAATGTAAGACTGATTGCACTTCACTTTTTTACACTAAAATTGAATTTAGATTACAATTGTTACGTTTTTACACAAAATAAGCAAATGTCTAATTACTAAGCAATAGGTAGCTATGTAGTAGCACTCATTACCCGGAGATCTCGAGGCCAAAAGTTCTATGAACTCTTCTAACATCATAATAACGTGAGCTAACTCCTTAAAACTTTTGGTGATGATCACTTTGTAAAAAATAGTATATATATATAACATAATATATCAATTAAACATAATTATTATAAATAGTTTTTTTACTTGAATGTATATTTTTTTTACTTAAACATTTTTGTTGACAACAACATCTTATTCATGTTTATTTTCAATTCCTAAACCCAACAAATATGCTAAGACTTAAATGAAAAATGTCTGTGAGATCAGACAAAGCCTCATAAACTGCATGGCAAAATGGTCCGGCAATAAAATACTGCTGGATAGCTAAATCACGACATCAGCTTGTGTGCGAACCAGTTCTAGACTCTAGTATAAGCAATGAATGCGCCTTGAATTTCAAGAGTGCGACACACAGTAGTTATTTAGAAGCAAAAACTCGTTATAATTATAACTTTAATGAAAAGTTTAACGGGAACTCACTTTTAGTTGAAATAGCTGGCAATTTAGTAATCATTTACAGACTAGTGTTAATAGAAAATTGCGAATATTTTAATCATTAAGCTATTTATTTTGCAGAGTAACACAGTACATAAAAAGAATTTGTAGGTATATGTAAATAATGTTTTTAACCCCCGACGCAAGAAGAGGGGTGTTATAATTTTGACGTCGATGTCTGTCTGTCTGTGTGCTTTTAAACGGATGGACCGATTTCGATGCGGTTTTTTTTTCATTTAAAAGCCAGTTTTCTTGCGATGGGTCTTAGCTAATATTGTAGGTTTAGTTAATATCGGTCCAGCAGTGTAAGAGTAATAGCTTAATTTGCGTAGGGGATTTTTTAATTTTTATTGTATTATAATATTAATGTGTTACATCTTTTTTCAAAAACAGCTTAATATGCTATTTTTTACCAACGTATTTATTACGTGAGGGGCGCCATAAGCCAAGATCTAAACACAACCTAACATAAAAAATAAGCCTAACCAATCTTAAAAATAAACTTTTTTGCTATCGTAAAACAATTTTTAATCAACAAAATCAAATAAAATAAAATTCGAACTCATAGTCTTACACTAGATAGGTAATATACTCGGTTTTTTTTAGTTTGGAATACCTACATGTCAGGATTCCAAAAATTTTAATCGACAGACATTTTCGTGACCAACATAACCATAATGGATCCTTTTATTGAGAAAATTCAAAGTCATTTTGTGTTCGAGACGTGTCGAAAGTTTTGGCCCACAGATTTGAGGCCAAACAAAGCAGTGAACTGAGTATTGTTCAAACGAACGAAAAGGTCACGTCTGATTGGCCAGACCGTGCGGGACTAAACGTAACGTTTTTAAAACACGCAGGATGACCAAATTGATTCAAAAGAAAAAAAATTAAAGGTATAGATAAAAAATTAAAATGCTTTTATAAAGATGCGGGCGATCATGTTGTAATACACAGTCAATAACAGTTACCAACTTTCTTTTTTTTTTTAATTATTTCGTTACCTAATTGTTTTACAAAAATTGCGTAATGGCTGCTTGACAAATTTAATTATCTTCAGTATTTTATTCAATAATATAATACTATTGAATAAATTTATTTAATAATACTATTAGTATTATTAAATAAATTTATTTTTATTGATCTACACTTACTTTTAAAGCGCAGAATATACATGATGGTCCGAGACACGCGTGGCCAGTGAGCTCACGAAAGCTGCGCCGGAAGATGTCAAGATGCCAGAGTACCTGCAAAAACATAAAAATTACTTAAATATGTACTAAAATCATACAGCGTATGCACTCTACATCCTATGCGTCAGTTTTGCTGCCCTATTCATGTTTTTATAGAATAATAAAAAAAAATATGTTGGCGATGGTTACATTTCCCTACTGACTTCTCGGTACTAAGGACAAATCAATATACATACTATCATCACGAAAATTTTGTACAATTTGAGAATATTATTGAAAATTCAATGCTTTAAGCCCTACGGCGATGTTTTTCGAACAAAACCAACATTAATCATACGTGAACTTTACGTTTCCGACAACTAAACTAGACATAGAGATCGTATAATATAGAATTTTAGAGTTCTATCTTGTCGCGCTACGATAAATATTATACATATGTATATAATTACAATTATAATAATTAATCAATACTATCAATCCCGATTTATGTACTCGGGTAATAAAAATATAAACTTTTGGTTACTGCCCAGTTAAATACACAGCATATATTTCACCGATATTTTATGGCATTGAAAAGATAATTGAATACCTCCAAATCATATAATAAAAACCAATCACATATATACTTTTTATTCAAATTAAAGCTCGAACGTCCCATTTTAAAAATTCTATTAATAATTAATTAATAAAAATTTTGCTCTTTACGTTATTAGTAACAGCAAACAATAAAGATTAGGATCTTCACAATAAAAACTTAATAAACCTAATTGCTTTGATTTTATTAATTGATAAATAACATATAAACATATTTGTAAAAACTTTATTTACATAAAGCGTATACTATGAACGATGTATATTAATTAAGCTTTACAAAAATACTTATATACGAACCAAAGGTGCTAAATATATATAGGTACCTATGATTTTCGTAAAATATGCAGTTTACTACCGGTTAGGTTAATTGAAAGTTCAGTAAGTACTCGTACAATGTAGGTATTTTATTAAAAAATATCTTTTTTATAAGTTGTTGCTATTGACTATGAAGTCTCCTGTCGCAGGTTATTTTTAGCTTAGTAGGAGGTTCACAACCTTGAACTATAGGTTAACGTATTTTCGTTACAGAATAGTTATATAATATAAGAATAATAATCATTTTCACATTTTGAAAACGAAACATATTATGTATTAACAGTTAAACAACAATATTATCTATATTGCCGTTTATATTATTATTTTGCTGTTATAAAATTGTTGTAAAGAAAACTCGATTTCAAAAATATTATTTTTGATTATTTCTGTCACTTACTACCGTACATATGTATGTATTAACCATCCAAAAATTTGCTAGTATACCTATATAGTATATTCGTCATATTAATAAATATGCATGGTCTACTTAAGATTACGCCACAGGCTTGTTGGCACGTTTCGCGTCAGCTGCAAACGCATATGACGCAGTAAAAAAAGCGGCCAAAAAGGAAGTTAAGTGCTATAATACGTATGTGACATATTTGATACAATATTGATTGCCGAACTATTGTTCAGTAATGCTCAATATTTCATCAATTACTATGGACGCTGACAAACTAGAGTAAATAGATAAGTGATCTGGAAATATTTACATTTTAAATTACAAAAAACACCCACACGCTTCCTGTTGAATTCGCCTACGCTCTCGCATATTTTTAAAATTATTCAAAGTTATAACAGACATTTATACAGATTTTAGTAATTTTACAAATATATATGTATATTAAAATAATGAAGTTTTCTACAGTACTCGAGATATTACTAATGCAGTATTCATTATAGTATTACATTATTTATACATAGGTATGTTCAAATAGTACTGAATTTTTAACATTACAAAAGTTATACGTATGAGCATACAGCAACCTTGAGTCTCCCTTTATATATAAACCTATATTATTCCAGAATAACTAAATTGGCGTTCGGCCGATTATGGATTACACCTGCTTGTAGTTTTTCGCAATTGTTTTCGGCATCCTAAGAGCAGGTGCCCGGCCAGTCTGGGCAGATGCCACCTCATCTTGGTTTTAGTCTTTGGAACGATTAAAATAAAACCAAAAATTTATACCATTCCATGTGGAGCAAGTTATGTATGTATATTTTTAAAATATGTAGGTAAACTAGTTTTGTAAACAAAAAGTAACCATTGTAAGTATATTAAGCCTGTTTTAGGTACTTGAGCGGTCTTGAAATATGTAATAATTTTTTAATTAAAATATTTCTTATTATAAAACAAGAACAAAACGGAGCATTAACGCTGCATTTTCTACGCAAGGAAGAACGTTCAATCCCTTTAAAGCCCAAGTAGAATCAGCGAATGAATGTTGATTTTTCTAAGTCACGTAACTGAGGAGGTTCTTACTGTTAGAATGCCATACTTTAGAAATTACATCTACACAATATACAAATCACTTTAGTTAACTATGCTTCTTATTATAGGAGCATAGTTATATTAATAAGTAATATCACAGATCACATAATACAACGTGTAGTAAATATATATAATAAGTTAGTAAAGTAGCAGAAGTAGTATTTACTAGTATATAAATTAAAAAGTAATTAATGTGTTAACGTAAACCAATCAATTTTTTTATCTTTATGCCTTCACTAGTATAGGTTATTTGTAAAAAATGGTTATGGAAAAAATAATCAAAAGTATGAAAGTAAAAGTGAGAATGTTCAGAGTTATAAAACAGATGTTCTAGTTATGTTGTAAACTACGAAAGAGCTCAAAATTATAATCTTGTGTCTAGAAGCGTGACGTCTACTAAATAGGTACGTACCTAGTACCTATATACGAACTAGATACGTTTTTAACTGACGTCCAAAGAGGAGGAGGTTCTATGCTCTTCTGTATGTATTTTATTTAATAACTAGCGTTACCCGCTGCTCCGCCCGCGTTCAGATGACCAAAAACCAAATTCTTAGGCTTTACATATTAGTTATACTCTTACAATGAAGTTTTTGTATTTTTTCTCAGAAATGAAATATTTTCCCGCGGTAAAAAGTATATGTTGAACCAGCTATCATCATACCAAATTTCATCAAAATCTATCCAGTGGTTTTCTCGTGATGCGGTAACAGACAGACAGACAGACAAAAATTATAAAAACTATAGATTCGGAATGTCTATTTCAATAAGATTTTCCAAAAAATATTTAATGTACAGATTCGACTTAGTTACAATTTTATTATATGCATAGATAATGGACAAGGAGACAAATAAACCTTTTGAAACTGTTTAATTGTTCTGTTTCAAGTAAAAGATCCAGTCGATAGAGATAAGATAAAGAGCTTAGACAAGTTTAAGAGCTTTTTTTCTACACAAGTTATAAAAATCAGGGCGACAAATAATTTTTTCTAAAAACTGATCTATACTTAATACTACAAGACAAAATACTACTTTAAATATAAACTTTTTAAATTTAAAAGGAGTATTTTGTCGTGATCTTTTGAATTAACGCGCGCGTTGTATTGATATTGTGAGGTAGACAGAGAACTCTTCTAAAACGATGCGTATCGTCGGCGTCTAAGCATAACGGTATATTTTTACTCGTATGTACTGTGTATTACCGTTCAGTACAGTAGCAGCATACAAGCTTTTAAAGTTAAGAGTTTTGAATTCGATTTTGCATGTGTAGACTGACGTCTTACAAACATGTCTGTTAGTTTTATTATTTAACATTTACCATATAGCATTTAGGGAGTAAATTCTAGTACAAACATTACAGCTATTTGTTTAGATCTTATAAAATATATTACGTAGTTATTAAAAAAATAATGAAGGAAAAAAATGTAGAGTTATATTAAGACAAAAAGTGTTAAATAATAGTTATGTAAAATAATACATATACATATGTAATTAATGCAGACTATATGCGGTAAGTCTTCCTAGCACTTTACTAAAAAAATCTCAACGTATACATATTCATTAATTGTTTGTTGTATGTTTCAGACCATAAAAAGATTTCTTAAATGGAACAAGAAATGTGCGACTATATGCAAGCTTAGTTTATACACGTTTTTCTTTGTAGGGGAGTGCAGTGGTGCATTTAATATATTAAGTTTATAGCTCGATTCAAACCACTATTTGACGCTTCTTGACCAGCGTGGGAAGTGGTTATCGCACGATTTGGCTATTTGAGAACAATCGAGATGTTTTATTTAATATTTTTTTTAACATTGAAGTTTATGGAAAAATATATTGCAAAGATAAATAATCCAAAAAAAAATAGAAAATAATATTACATCAATTGAAGAAATGCGAAATGAGTAGATAATTATTTATTAATGTGCTCCGTGTTATGAAAATTGTTTAGTTGAGTTGAACAGCGGAAGTAGATTTGAATCAAAATATAGAGAGTACACTTCCCCTACGGAAACGACGCACCTTAATTTAAAATATTACTGACATACGACAACAATGTTATGCATAAATAACATATTGAGTGCATTTGATAGGCATTTTGCACAAACACACACACACACACACACACACACACACACACACACACACACACACACAAATGGCGCTGTATGCAACCTGTGCACAGTAACTTATGTATGTGTGTTAATACTTAATATGCTTTTTAATTTTTATTAATTATGGCTATATTATTTTCTTAGATTCACGCGAATATTTTACATTTTAAATAAAACTACATTTTATTTAAAATGTCTGTTATAATATTGTTGTATTACATTATATTTATAATACTTATTAAAAAAATATATATTTAGAATTGAAATAGATACTATGATGCCATTTTTGAGTTTTGAAATAAGTTTTTTTTTTAAATTGTGGGTAGGCACAGGCAGGTCTCTAACAAGTATATAACGCCTTTGAGACGTCTAAAACCTAAGTTTCTCGTGACCATGATTGCTGTAAAGCATTCAAAACTTCGGGAACCAAAAATCAAAATAAATCCGCGAAAAAATCCGAAAAGATAGTTTTACTTAAAATATGGCAATATTGAAAAGAACATTACTTTTTTTTAAATACACATATGAAAATATCATAAAGT